CACGATATAGCAAAAGACGGAAGTAATTAGATAGTTAGACGGGTGCAAATGATGGGTGCCTGCAGTTAGTGACATCATCATCACTGATGTTGGCACTGATGCTTCACTGTCGCATCTACAATAAGGGAAGTGTGATGGCAAGTTAGTTGCCGAGTGTCGCCTACAAACCTATGGAACAGGGCGATATCATTTCCTCATCATCATTACTGACAACAATAGCAGCTGAGACACTGGTACTTCATTGCTGTACAGCCATGTCACTTCATTTGAATAGAGCTTTCTGGAGAGAAAAAATGGAACAGGAAGAGGACGTACGGCTAGTCTACTACAAACGTCCGTGTCAAAACCTCTAACACTGTCAGAAACTCTGGATAGAAACCAACAGCACCACTGACATCGGCTAGCCGCCATATCGTCCAGTCTCCAGGATGGGTAATGTGGACCTCATTCTGGAGGGCGAACAGCACCAACAGTACCCAAACTTTTCATAACATCCTTTATTCCCTATTGCCACGTCAAATTAAGTCCACCTCTAGCATAGAAAACGCTATTCTCAGAAGGCGGTAAATACGTACGCGTAACGCATGGCCGAGTCACCTTAATATGCAGTACTTGAGGCGGTCTGGTTGAAACACCGTCTGCTTCACAAGAGACCAGTTTCCTGGCCACCTCCCAGATTCACTGTTTGCAACCGGTTCCAGCTACGGTTCTGAGATAACGCAGGCCAAAGACCTGAAGACGTCTCATATGCTTCACTCGAAGTGGCATCACGTATAGCATAAATGCGGTTCTTCCAGTGTCCGTCGTTTAGCATTATGGATAGTCACAACCCGTGACGTAGAGCAATCAAAATTGATTCACTAACGTAACCTTTCCTATCATTGGTAGGTTTATAGCATTAAACTGTACATCCAGTGTTGCTTACCTCATTATTTAGTCCCGTCTGAATTACCTCGACCTTGTGTTTAGTACAGACCTAGTTGACCTGTCTAGGCTTGGGCGACCTGACAGTATCTCAGCCCTCGTGCTTCCTTCGGGTTGCATGGCAGCTAGGCGCCGAAAGCTGAACGATCGAGACCTAGTTGAGAGAAACACAGTGGGACAAGGACAACGGCTTTGACATGGGGGGATGTTTGCTGCGGGACCCTGCAGGCTACATTACATCGAACCTCTCCATTATTAAAAATTATTAGAAATGCTGACGCAAAGTAGTCTGGCAATGCAACGAGCATCGATTCTGCAGGTAGGCGGGTTATGGAGGACTTGAGGACAACCAGACGTCACTTCATGACAGCCAGCACTTTAGTATGGGAGAAACGTTCATTCCCTTTAGAAACGACGGATCAGGATAAGCAGTCTGTACAAACTATACCATGCTTGGGCGTGAACATGGTGGCAAACAATCCTCAATGTCGTCTGAGGGGGTACTACTGCCCAAGCCCATAGAGATCATCAGTCTGTTGTACCGGTGCATAATGGGCTGGGCGCGGGGGCTGCACCTGGCAAATGGTTCTCTGGAGCACGAAGTACACAGTTTATGAAGTGTGACTTTTCCGATTCACATAACTTGCCATTACTGATATGATGTTCTCACCAGAATCGCACAACTCTTCGGAGGCACCTATGGTCAAACACAGTCACCTAAGTACACAGCCCACGCCACAAGTCTGTAAAGTAGGAAGGATCTGACCGGGGCATTGTACACTCCACCTGACAGTAAAACTGATGTCACCTTAGCACCACAGACGCCGGAAGTCAACAAACGCCGATCTGGCCTTGCCACCGGGACTTACGCAGCTACCTAATTAAACGAACCTATCTATTACATCGATCGGCACACCTGCAATTATGAGGTTTGTGTTTGATCCCACCCAATTTTGCGAAGAGCACGCCGATTGTCATCATCGTTATCATCATCGACAACATGACATCAGTGTTCAACACCGACGCTTCATTGACATACAACCATGATTTATTTGAAAGCCTTATTGTAAAAAGAGTAAAGGTGATAGAGAGAGAGCTTGTGTGGGCTTATGTAAAGCATTCTGAGATGCCTACACCTCTAAGCACTCAACCAGGGCAATCTGGAAAATGACAGCACGAACGCCACTGACATCCATCAGCCGCAATTTCTTGCAATGTCTCCAACCAAGCGCAAGTGGGATCATGAGGACCCCATCATGAAAGTCGCACCGCACCAAAAGCACCCAAATTTTCCAGAGGAAAATGTTGGCAGCTCAGGTAGTGTAGATGGTCGTTAGTTTGTGGGATGGGATGGGCAATTTGCTGGCAAATGTTTCATCAATCGAGGTGAAATCATCAGTGCGTTGTTAGGGAGCGTGTGGTTAGTGGTTGCGCGTTGAGTAGTGTTGCGTGTGTCTTAATATACGTGCTGCTAGCCGGGGCTGACCTACGATCACGATTAGCTGTTCGGTCCGACGGTTCCAGTGGTTGGTTTCTTGTCCTGTGTCTTAATTCGTCGATGCCCACGTGATCTCTGAGCTTGGCGTTGGTACACTCGTCGATGCTGGAGTGACCTCTATTCTTGAACCTTCCGGATTCCGGTTTGTGACCCTCATTAATCTGATTTTAAAGAGTCCCTTGTTTCTGTTTGTGAATCTGATTTTCCGTTCTCTTACAGTATTCCGGTTGAAGTGTTGCTCTTTTGCACGTAGTGGTGCGTAAATTGGATTCAGCTCAATACATCGGTTGATCGAATCCGCCGTGGAGTACCATGTTTCCGGAAATTCCTTTCCGTCTCGTGTCTCCGTATTAAGTTTTTGGGTTTTCCGGACTGGAATTGTGGCCTTCTTGGTCCTCGTGTATGAACATCAAGGAAGGGGATCATGTCTTTTGACACCACAATTGACGCTCACTGGCAAACATGATTCTGGCTTTTGAGATCCGTGCATCGGACACAGTTACGTTGGAGCTAATACAACTACCTCCAGTGATTCTCATGGAATTGTACAGAGTATGTTCAAAAACTGCAAGCTCTGAAGAACTACTTTGCAATTTGAAGAAGCCAAGCGCAATCCGAAAAGGGCATGATGGTGGTCACTTAGTTAACAATACAACCTGGGCTTCGCCTTACACTTCAAAGATGAGGATGATATCGTATGCATTCCCTAGATTCTCACGAGCAACAACTTGAATGCCGGGGTTTTGAAGACCTTCCAAAGTCACCTTAGCACCACAGACGCCGGAAGTCAACAAACGCCGATCTGGCCTTGCCACCGGGACTTACGCAGCTACCTAATTAAACGAACCTATCTATTACATCGATCGGCACACCTGCAATTATGAGGTTTGTGTTTGATCCCACCCAATTTTGCGAAGAGCACGCCGATTGTCATCATCGTTATCATCATCGACAACATGACATCAGTGTTCAACACCGACGCTTCATTGACATACAACCATGATTTATTTGAAAGCCTTATTGTAAAAAGAGTAAAGGTGAATGGTAGAGAGCTTGTGTGGGCTTATGTAAAGCATTCTGAGATGCCTACACCTCTAAGCACTCAACCAGGGCAATCTGGAAAATGACAGCACGAACGCCACTGACATCCATCAGCCGCAATTTCTTGCAATGTCTCCAACCAAGCGCAAGTGGGATCATGAGGACCCCATCATGAAAGTCGCACCGCACCAAAAGCACCCAAATTTTCCAGAGGAAAATGTTGGTAGCTCAGGGAGTGTAGATGGTCGTTAGTTTGTGGGATGGGATGGGCAATTTGCTGGCAAATGTTTCATCAATCGAGGTGAAATCATCAGTGCGTTGTTAGGGAGCGTGTGGTTAGTGGTTGCGCGTTGAGTAGTGTTGCGTGTGTCTTAATATACGTGCTGCTAGCCGGGGCTGACCTACGATCACGATTAGCTGTTCGGTCCGACGGTTCCAGTGGTTGGTTTCTTGTCCTGTGTCTTAATTCGTCGATGCCCACGTGATCTCTGAGCTTGGCGTTGGTACTCTCGTCGATGCTGGAGTGACCTCTATTCTTGAACCTTCCGGATTCCGGTTTGTGACCCTCATTAATCTGATTTTAAAGAGTCCCTTGTTTCTGTTTGTGAATCTGATTTTCCGTTCTCTTACAGTATTCCGGTTGAAGTGTTGCTCTTTTGCACGTAGTGGTGCGTAAATTGGATTCAGCTCAATACATCGGTTGATCGAATCCGCCGTGGAGTACCATGTTTCCGGAAATTCCTTTCCGTCTCGTGTCTCCGTATTAAGTTTTTGGGTTTTCCGGACTGGAATTGTGGCCTTCTTGGTCCTCGTGTATGAACATCAAGGAAGGGGATCATGTCTTTTGACACCACAATTGACGCTCACTGGCAAACATGATTCTGGCTTTTGAGATCCGTGCATCGGACACAGTTACGTTGGAGCTAATACAACTACCTCCAGTGATTCTCATGGAATTGTACAGAGTATGTTCAAAAACTGCAAGCTCTGAAGAACTACTTTGCAATTTGAAGAAGCCAAGCGCAATCCGAAAAGGGCATGATGGTGGTCACTTAGTTAACAATACAACCTGGGCTTCGCCTTACACTTCAAAGATGAGGATGATATCGTATGCATTCCCTAGATTCTCACGAGCATTGAATTGAATGCCGGGGTTTTGAAGACCTTCCAAAGTTCGCCTCATTATTTCATCAATGACGAAGCTGAATAAGAATGGAGAGTACTTGTCGAATCCTCATTATTTCATCAATGACGAAGCTGAATAAGAATGGAGAGTAGTGTCCTTGTCGAATACCACTTTCTGTAGGGAAGCTTTTCGGGAGCTCAGCATGCACTTTCACACACCGGATCGGATTATGCTTACAAACTTTTGGGGCATGCCCTGTTGAACAGGTTTAGTTAACAGCACTGAATGATCGACAGAATCGAACACACCCTTGAGGTCAAGCAGCACCAAGACTCTGGGTCGTCTGCACATGCGGCCCTGCTTTAGCACCTGACGGAGTGTGAAGATGTGAGCAACGCAGCCTCTACCGGTTCAAAATCCCGCTTGATGCTCACGGGTCAAGGTGTCGCAGGCCAATGTAAGAGGATGAAGAATCAATAACACCAGAAGCCTTGTCACAATGGGAGCCAAGTTAACACCTCTATGGTTACTACATTCACTGCAAGTACCCTTTTTGAAAACAGGTACTACTATCCATTCATCCCAGTTGTCTGGGAAAGTCCCGATCTCCCAGATGGACCCACATAAGCTAGACAGGCACTGGCTGAGGAATCCACCGCCATCCTTGAAAAGAGCAGTCGGAAGGTCATCAGGACCAACAGCACGATGACGCTTGAGTTGTAAATTATGCGCGGAAACTTCTGAGGCCGAAGGCAGCTCCATATTCACGGTCCACCTGTTGGACGCCAGGATTCTGGATTGGAGGTTGCAGGTGGCCAACTGAATTGCTGCTCGAAGTACTGTGTCCAGCGGTACAAACGTTCTGCTTTGTTGCATATCAAGGAGCCATTTTGGTCCCTGATTATTTCGCTGACACGTGGGTTCCGAGCAGCTTGCGGACATTTCCAGCATTCTTTGCATCCCCCACTTCTTCGGCCTTTCGAATCCACCAAGGTTCTCGGTCAGCACGGATACCCAGTGTCACCTGGCGTCGGATGATGCGTCGGGTGGAGTTGTGGTGGCGGCCAGGAGGGAGACATCGCCGGGTATCCAGCAAAGATATGCTCCTCTCAGAGATCCAATCTTTGGATGAGGTTGACTGGGTTGTACCAAAAACGGAAGTTCCGGCTCTGAGTGACGCCCTGGATATCTTTTACCAGTGGCCCCTCATATACGACATCGTGCCGTCTAGGCGTGCCGTCCGACAGGCGTTCGAGGAGCTGGTTCTGATAATTTCGATTTCTGGGTCCAATAGCTTCCTAATCGTTAAGCGAGGTGTGCGCGTTTTGCGTACACCTGAAAAGCGCAAGGAAAAGTAGCAGCGCACAAGTGTATAGTCGGAGTCCACGCTGGTCTTCCAAAAGGTGCGGCAGATGGGGATCCACCCTCAACACCGATAACTGACGGCGATGTGGTCTATTTGGATTCAGCGCTGATTTGTTGGTGGGTACCACATTATCAAGCGATTCCCGCTGTTCTGGAAATTCGTACTGCAAAAGAACAGTCTGTGATTGGCACACATCTGAAGTAAGCGGTCTCTGTTGTTCGTGCGTCTCGTTTCCAAACCAAGACGACCACCCGATCGGGCCTCAGCAGCTCTTAGTCTACCTACCTGGGCGTTCATATCACCAGAAACCAAAGCGATATCTGAGCTTCGACCCTGTTGTAGAAAGGCACCTATAGCGTCATAGAAACTGTCCTTGGCAGATTCAGAGCTACAGTCAGTTGGAGCGTAAGCAGGCACAATAAACAAGGTGTGGTGGACCTCAATTTCTCAAGAATCTCTCAGACTCTGCCAAACGCACCGCACAGAGGCGATTAGCAATGGGTATACAACGAAACAGAGACGGTTTCACTCGTCCGCTCAATACACTACCCACCTCTGCACCACCACAGGTGCGCAGCCGGAACCTGGAAGAGAGCGAGTGGGTAGTCAGTTCGATCACAGTAGATGCGTCCTGCATCCGTTTCATACAACATACATCAATACAGAAGGAATCCAGCATACGAGCAAATGCCACCCGTTGACCTGCTTGCATCAGTGTGCGAACATTAAAGGTGGCTAAGTAGACAGGCTTTCGGAGTATGAAAACAGTCTTCGAAGTGTTAAGGGCTATGACAAAACTTGAGCGTACGGAAACTGCGGCTAAGTGTGATGCAGGGCGAGCGAAACGGCCAGTCCTCGAGCTGAGACCCGCGGAGAAAGTATTCAAATTTGGGTGGCGAGGGAAGGTCGAAGACGGAAAACATGAAAGTGTAAAAAGGGAGGAGTCAGCAGTAACCTATTTGTGCTTACCCGCCCTGCTGTATGCAGCAAGTAAAGCGACCCGGTTGATGGCACCACGCGATGGCCGATGTGGCATGATATTGTTAGTTGTGAGTGTCACGGTTGTACGAAGACCGAGATACTGCCTGGGCACCGACAGCTAGACAGGGAGACGATCAGGCCAAAGCCTTTGGCTTAAAAGCCTGACCGCAAGGCAGTGGTGTTGGGCTGGAAATGCAAGTACATTACCATTTTCAAGGAATATGTCACCACACATGTTCCAACCCCCAACCTGGAGGGCCAGGAGACTGTTTGTCAGGTTTTTACCCATTGACCAACCTGTCGCGCGGACACTCCAGTATAGATCAATGGGTAGCCAAGGTACACAAACCGCCACACCACGATAAGTTCGTCCCTTCGCTGTGACCAAAAATATCTTTTTGATGCCGTATGTAGTGTAAATCTGCTTACGTGCTCAATGTTTTCTAGATTCATGCAATGACCTTATCAGTCAGACTATCATGAACCATTGGAAGTCCCGAGATCCATGTCCACTCTTGAAATCTTAGGTCTGTTCAGAAAAGTGTACGTGTCTGTGTAGGGAGAAGCGCATACCGAAGGAGTGGGTGTTACATTGTTACCTCGTGCGTCATTGTCTTACTATGCCGTCTGCATAATCCATGCAGAGAAGGCTGCACGTCAGGATGATCCTAACCGCGGGGTTTAGGAAGCACTCTGGAGTTCACCTTATCATCTCCCCAAAGTGAAACTTGAGCAATGGAAAGCGGAAAACCTTGTCATACACTAACGGTTATGGGAGAACTCCCGGAGAAACCCACAGAAACCCGCCTAAAGGTCTATGGTTATAAAGGTTAAGGTATTGGCGAAAGCTATGACACAAACGTTTATATGGAGAACGAATCGGCCGACAGAAAACTTTTCGAACTCACCTCACGTTCCGACTCCCTGGAATGGGGGCGTTGATGATGCCCCCGATAAACTTGGGAAAACGGAAAGCCACCATTGAAAAACATCGTGAATACATCGCCTGAAATAATAGCTGAATGAAAGTGGTACGTACCATCATACTGGAAGAACGGGTCACCATGCCGATGAACACGCGTTATTCGCGGGACCTGCTCCTCCTCCGTACCATACTGATCATACCTGCGGCGTTTTTCAGGGTCCGTCAAAACACTCAGAGCAGTCCCAATCTTCTTGAAGGCTTCCGTTGCACCAGGTGCTCTATTCTTGTCAGGATGAAACTTCAGTGCCAAACTTCACGAGTAAAAATAAGAAACCAACTTACGACTTATATGAACGACGTATTACATCTTCAGAACTATCTTTGGTTACTCCCAGCAGTTCGTAATAATCTTTGCAAGCGAGAACCTTTCGTACAGCCTCGGCTTGTGCCCTGGTGAAAACAGCCTCTGAGTGCTCCGGTGGAGGCGGGTTGCTGACGTTTTGTGAGCTATCACAGTCTCTATTCACTGTCGAAGCTCTTTCACGGGACTGGGATCGTGAATTGCACACCAACGATTCCAGGCCTAGAAAATTTTCCACACAGATCAATCCAGCTCACCTGCTATGCTCACGCCAGGGTAAAGTCGAACTGCTTTCATAACATAACGTCTAGCAAGTTCTGTCTGCCCAGCCGATAGCCTGGCCCTAGCCATTGACACGCAACGCAAAGCCTCGTCCTTATTGGCATCCATCAGCTGCGGCTTGAAGAAGGAGAAGCGCCAAAAGTGGAGCGTTAAAACAAGAAAAGACTGATTTCACATTACACGGCCATCTGCAGAGAGAATAAGTCCTGCTTTTGCGTTGCCCTGCTTCTTACGCCGCCGCAAAGTTCCCTCATCCTTATTGGCATCCATCAGCTGCGGCTTGAAGAAGGAGAAGCGCCAAAAGTGGAGCGTTAAAACAAGAAAAGACTGATTTCACATTACACGGCCATCTGCAGAGAGAATAAGTCCTGCTTTTGCGTTGCCCTGCTTCTTACGCCGCCGCAAAGTTCTTCTCGGTGTCTTGACGGTGCTGAAAGAGTGACTCACTGATATATCATAGGTTCTTCAGAATAGTGACTAGTTCGGGCTTTCCTGCATAACACGCCCCGTTTGTTTTATCAAGGACTCACGGATTGATACACAGGATCGAGGCTATTGCCCAAGTTTCCCAAGTCAGTTTCTTTCTTGTCGGTCAGTGGCTGTCGTTCACCTGAAAGGCACAAGTGAAAAAGGGTGTAGTACTGATCTTTATGTTCTTTCAGCCAGAGGCATGGTTGCCTCAGTGGACAATGAAATTCCGTGAGCTGCAAAAATAAGGATACAGATCGGAACGGACACTTTGAAAATGTCGTGAAATGGCGGATGGCATGAAGGGGGATCAAGTGATGCCGAATACGTGCATATGCAATTTAATATTGTTGCTCGAATGGAGATGGGCACCAAAGGAATGATGAAGCTAGTTCTCCACGTGGCTGTGAGCAAAGCCCATCACCGTCCGGTGAGAATATGGGACTATGTAAACTCGTGCTGAAGCACTTAATGAGGCCACCCAGACCTCAGAAGTCTAACTTATGCTTCAGATGCAGCGTCCGCAGTTACTTCCCTTGGAACCCTGTGACACCAACACATGTATGTTACCAGGTGAGGGATTCGTTGCCATCGGAATGCCAAGTTTCTGCATGGGAATCATGGACACACCAAAATCGCCCGCGGCTCTGTCCCTACTCCGTGTCCACTCACCGGCAGTGATCAAGGTAACATACACAGTCGTTCCCACTTAAAGCCTACCTATAACCCATTAGATGGTTACTCCGAATATGAATTCTGACCAACCAACCAAATTGCGCAATTTCACCAGTCAACCAAATTGAGATCCACGATTCCCCCTCTTCTAAGGTTTATGCCTGGAAGCGGAGTTCCCCTGAGCCCTATGGCCGGCATCCATCAAGAAAGACTGGCAATGGGTACCATGGTCACTTTTACACTGCATGTCTACCCAACAGATTTAAATGATAATGTCCTGTGCTCATTTCCTCACTCATGGTATACAACAAGAGGGAGCATTCAATCCACCTTCCCTCAACGTGCACGCTCCATACTGCCCCTCCTCAGCCCCAATGCGACTCATCTACTTCTAGATCTCCTTCATCCTTGGCTTTCCCTCCACGCTGTCCGCGAATGGGTCTAGTTGCCCCTCCCCCTACTCCACCACATGAATTAACCTGCAAACCCGTCGGACGAACTGAGGCAGAAATACACATGTTATTCCTTTAGTTCTCATGATAAACAGTACTCAATGAATGACTTTGTGGCATTAAATCCCGATAATTAGAGCTGCCCAGGGGCACTTGGTTGACCTCAAAATTATCTTCTAAGTAAAAACCGATTCCACTTCTGACCGTTCTGGCATAGAATCGGAGGTGCTTGGTTCTTTGGTTTGAACCGTTTGCCCCAACTTTGGCAGCAATTTCGGTTCTAACATTCACAGCCAATCACTCAGAGTGGTCCACTTTGTAGCTTTCAGATAGGGGAAGTTTTACAGAATGGACATTGCCCCCTTCTCATCAGGTGTAACAGCATGTCTCCCCACTGCGCCCGATCAATCTTTGACATACCGATCGCAGTTGCTCGCAAAAATCCATGGGCTGATTGATACACTGGGGCAGTTTTCCGTTTCGGTTTTCATTCCGTCCTTTTTGAAACAATAAAATACGCTGAATGGAGATGGTTCTCGATGATTCCGGATCCTAGTGTTTTAACTACCTATTTGCCAGCATCCTCCGTTCCAGACCAGATCTTTACCCCTACAGGTATTGAGGTCAAAATCTTTGACAGGCCTAGGACAAGGTAAAACCCCATGTCACTTTAAAACCTACGAAAACAGCGATGAATGCATCTAAATATTCTCAAGCATCCTTTTCTTTCTCTAGTCCTTCCACATTCTCTCTTATCTTCCCAGGCTTTCTGCGGATACCCCTCATCGGCCTTGGATACAGGCAATTCTTTCCTAATTTTTGATTCTTCCGACGCCATACACCATGGTATTGTTATAGGAGTTTGGAAAGGCATCAACACCAGCAATTCTTCCGTCAGCTGAATTCTTATACTTTTAACCGCTCCTGACGAGTAAGAGTGGGCAGACTAAGTTCTTCAGAATCTCAGGCCATGAGGGGTGTCCCAAAGGAACTGTCATCGGCTAATCTACATTTGTGATGCTTACCAGCGCTATTTCGTCATTACTTCGCGATGCAAAAAAGCCTCCTATTATCTGATGGCAACAGCCTCTGGTGCAGTGATTCGGCAACTTCCACTAGCACACAGCGAATAGCAAAGCCTACCGGTAACCCTACGGAAAATGTGTTAGGTCATGTCAGTCTCCAAATCAAATCACACTCAGATGTCATATTCAACCCAAATCACGGCTCCCTACTGGCACAGGAACCTATTGTTTACAGCAGTATTGAGCATGGGTCTGCTTTCCACGTACTCGCGATTTTATTATGAGAGCTATTTGCCCGTTTCTTCTAATTGTGCGACCGTCCTGGACTGAACTCGACATCGCCACCAGTCCTTTCTCACTTGTGCTTCGGCCGTTTACCTATTTATTCATGGCTTGATCTCTCCGGTTTTCGTACGCAGATACAATTCACCCATGCCCATACAATGGTCATCATACAGCATGATTAAGGAATACATATTCAATGATTTAGTAGATGGAACGACAAAATAAGTCACGGCAGTCTTTCTTATGACGACCTGCTCTAAACAGGTTCCTTGTAAGCGTGAGTGAAAAGCCAAAATCCTGTAGGTTTATACAGGCTTGCATCGTTGCTGTTTACTACCGTTTAGATAGAGTGAAACAAACTAGCTTTACTCTACCGTCTAAGGAAGAAGTTATTGAATACAAGCCGGTAAATACTCTGATTTTTCACCTGCTCATGGGTTGGTGGAGTTGCTCGCTAACGCGAAACGACCTAAAGAGGGTGTTGGTCAAATCTTGTGGATGACGGGATACTATAAGTCACAACCAGGACACTCTAAAAGACACGGAGGCATCTTCTGAGTAGGGATTGGAATGTGTTTAGTGCAGAGACGCCTACTCTGGGCCCTGAGGGTTTCAACCTCAAAAACCTACCGAAGAAAACGCTTAGCCCAGACCTAGTCGTGAAGGGCTAGAATGAGAGCTCAAGAGTCGACCAGCAGGCGGAAAACAAAGGTAAGGATTAGCTTGGAACAATCCTGAAGATGCGTATAAGGCTTCAATGAAGATGATATTTCTCAAGAGAGAACAAACATTGACGCAATGGTCGATCGACTGCAAAGAGATATTATGGCTATGATGTTCTTCCGCTGAATGTTTCGAGGAAAATGTTTATCAGAATGAGGCCTGGGAACTCAAAGAACGTTACAGTGCACTTGAAATCGGTGAATAAAGGACGCACAGGCGCCGCTGCAATTGTGCTGATCAAAACCCCCAAAAAACGGTACTCAATCCCCTCTGCAGATTCAGAAAGGCCGGTGTGAGTGTTCCGCTTTGAAGGGATACTCGACGCGAGATTGGAGCGTCTTTCTAAGGCACTGGAGGATTCAGACATTAAGAATGCAGCGAATTGGACAAAAGTTGACAAGGAACTTTTTTCGCTGAACGAGTACCTCGTGCCATCCATACCGGGTCCTCTGGCTGCGAACATTCTGACACGGCTTTAAAGACCGCGACAGCGTCTCTAGGCGCCTAAGGGAAAACAGAGAGATAATCTGGAGGTCATTCTCAGGAAACATCACGCCAGCGAACCTGGCACGGTCGATCCTTGGCAACGCCCTCACCAAGCATGATAAATCGCTCTACGCAGAATGGCTACGCCAGAAGGAGTGTAAGCGAACTCTTGGACGTTTAGTCATTCTTTCTCCCCCAACTGACGTACAAGAGATCTTGGAGCGGGCTGGCAGCATTCAAAAGGCCAACCCAATGATCAGGCGCCTATCCGAGCATCGTCCTCTAGACGCGCGAAAGCTTGGTCATGGCCAGGGGTGCAAGCACGAAGCAGGCTTCCGCCGGGTACCGAATCAGCCGACCCCAAACTCATGAACAAGCCGACTGTGGTCATATCCCCCTGTGCCCCCGAAAGCAGGCCGAAGAAACCAGCTGCGTCCCCGGATAGCAGTTTTCATTCGACCACCACCGGCCTCTCACCCGCCAAAGGCAGGGATGCCCTGGAGGAGGCGAACCCCACATGCAAGCAGCGCCCAAACTACGTGGAGCTATCGACGCTTATCTCCGTATCAGAGGACACAGCTGCAGCCGTGCACTCCTCAAGAGTGTCACAGCCTCTGAACTGGACTGCGCCAGATGTGCGGGGACAAGAAGCGAAGACAATCTCCAGCTCCACTCCGTCAAAAGCGGCCTCTCTGTCTGTGGACACAACCGTCGCCCAGGATCCCGACAACCGAAGCCATAAACATGACTACACCCATACGGAAAATTCCTCGTACATCCAGTTGGCCACGCTGATCGCCGGCGGATCGGGTGTCCACACAAACACGAGAGAAGAGCGACTGCAGCCAAACAAGCCACATAAAGTTCTCCAGATTAGAAAGCTGCTGACTGGCTTCAAGGTGTAGTCCTCCGCAAAAACGAGCCTCTTGGGAGCGCCACAAAAATCATTACTTCTTGTTGCAGCTACCCAGCGCCCAGGGCCCCAAAGAGACAC